GCTAATACATTTTCGTGAGACTGTGTTGCATAATGTTACCATGAGAGCAAAACAAATACCACGCAGACTTTGATAGCACTTGAGACTTCCTGTTTTATATGGTTTGGGAAACTTAAAAAGTGTCAATCTAATAAAAGTAGACACGGCAAAGCAGTTAATCATGGCAAATTATTGTTTTTTAAGCATTTAAAAACCAAATTAATAACTATAACTGCCATCACATCGTCCATGTTGCCTCTTTATGTTTTTCTTAGCCTTCCTGTTTCCTGGAGCATCTAGGCAGAAACCTCACGATGCTGGACATTCTTAAAAAAGCCCCATAAAAGACATAAAAAAAATGTGGGTTATGAAAGTTAAACATGTGAACCCATTACAAAGAAACATTCTTAAGTTACTCAAGACCTCAAGTTCAGCTGCACCCAGTGTACTGTAATTTTGGTTCCCAGCAGACGTGAAGACTCATATATTTTGTCGATGAGCTGCTGCACAAAATTACAGGTCTCCTATTTCTTGTGACTCTTTGCAGTATTTCATGACATGGTCTTTTAATAAGGGCTGAGAACTGCTTGTCCTTAAAATATTATTTTCTAGTGAGTCAGCATGTGCTCCTTCAGTCACTTCCATTTTATTTGACTTTGGAATCAATGGTTGCAGTTAAATACTCCTCACTTCTGTGGCCCACAGTTGAGGACTATTTCCAATCAATTAAGTCCCAAACATCACATCTATAGAATGGATAACTCATTTGTTTTATTTCCTCTTTCCATCATGACAAAGATACTTCCAGGATGAACAATACCTCCAAGCCTCAGCAGCATGAGGACATGCTTGACATGGTTGATTTTTCACAACTCAGTAGGGATGTAGTGAGATCTCGTAGCAGAAGAAAACATGGTGCCAACATTTGATTTTTACTGGTGAAGTAACTGTGTGCTACTAAAAAATGAAGGTGTTTAACTCTGACTCTGGACTTGTATGGCAGTTTATCAAGTCCAGCGGATTTGATAAACTGCTACATTCAGTCATTCACCCATTCATGCACACATTCACACAGTGATGGTGGCGAGCTACTGGATGGTAGCCACAGCTGCTCTGGGGCAGTCTGACAGACGTCAGGTAGGTGAGGCAGGTAAAATGTCTTGCACAACGACTGAACTCCTACCACCATCCCCACTTTCATTTCTTATACCTTAAATCCCCTATACTCTCAAACATGGGTTGCAGTTAGAGCGGTGTAGGGTTGTACCCATGTATCAGTCTTGATTTAGCTAATAAGTACTTCTTATGAGGCCATGTGACAATCCTTAAGTCCAAAAGCATTGAGGAAGCCTCCGCCGCTTTAAAATGATTCATCTGAAACCACCTGAGGTCCTCTGAACCAGCAAACTAACCTATAGTCAGTGTAAGAAAATAGCAACTGTTTAATCATCAGGTGCTAATAACACTAATGTGTTATTAGCATACTTTCTGTCCTGTTATTTCTCATAATTTCACTCTCTAATGTGTTTTGACACTCCTGCGCTCTTATTATTATCTGCAAGTTCAAATTTGAATGAATGAATTTAATTAAATACATTTAATTAAATTTAATTAATTAAATTTAATTAATTTGAATTAATGAATTCATTAACTTCAAATGAATGTTAAAACATGTTTTTCCAATCATGTGCGTCTCCCTTTCTTTTCCCCCACTTTATCGCCTGTCCAATTAAGCAATATGTACCAAGCCAAATGTGCATGCCTATCTTTCTGAGGTGGTTTATCCTTTTTCTGTCCAGCAGAACAGGGCAGTTCACTCTGTAATTATTTAACCAACATTGTACAGAAAGGTCACATTCCAGAAGCTCTTCCTGTTCAACCTCTTGTTACTTAGCCTTTTTGCTATAATATTTAAGGGTGAGGTTACTTGTACGTCTATATGGACAGGCTTTAAGCAAACCATGTTTCTCCAGTATAGGTATATGAGCATTGCTGACTTAATGCAAGACGTTTTTCAGTTTCCTGGAGTGATAAAATTACCAGATTCTGGTGTCTAAGCAGTGAAATATTGGAATGTTCGTTTTCCTTAGCAACTGTAAAGGAGCTTCTCTGGTCAATCCACTGACTTACTTCATGTATGCTTCGATAAATTTACAATCCCCATGTGAAAAACCACTTAATGCTCCACAGCTTCAGCCTGATATATGGCTGGAGTATTCCCAAGTGAAGCAGTGGAGGTAGTCACATTGTGCACTGCATATGATAGAAAAAAAAAAAGAGGAAAACATTTTTCTGACCATCTAAACTTCTTCCCATCTGATTGCTCTCATGACTGCGTCAACTTTATATTTTGAGCTTTCTTTGGCAAACGGAGGAAAACTTTGTTCTCTGCGACAGTAAAAAGAGGGAGCCAGAGAACCAGCTTGGCAGATGTCACTCGTAACTAAGGCTGAAACCACATTATGTTCTTCATCTAAGACGACGACGTTTATAGGTTGCCAGAATCACTCCGCACTTTCCAGTACTCCAGCAGCCCAAGTAACCATCTAATATAAATGTGGGAAGCAACTGACATTTCAGTTTTTCCTTGGTTGCAACCTTCAAACCACCTTCACCCCCCTCTGTCATTAACCGTTTAGACTGATGATTTTAATTCCAGAAACATGTTGCCTCTGTCCTCCTCTAAAGTTCAAACCAGAGCGCCATGGTAACAACACTTCTTTTAATTATAAGGATCTGAATTGGGGTGTAATGAACATCCTATCTAGTCTATTTATAGGTGGAAACTGCAGTTAAAAACATCAAAAGAGAAAAAACATGACCTCATACATTGTGTCAGTTTATGTGACAAATTTGATTTGAAGTGTTTAAATGGTAAGTGCATGTGTACATCAACAATTATTGCTTCTCCAGTAAATACAGTTTGAAATAATTTTATTTAGATGAAGTTGAGCTTCAAATATATTAGAAATGCTGATGTGATAAAATATAACGACCCTCTTTTGCCGACAGGTCAACACATTCATTCTTCCCTTCAACATTTTAAGGGTTAAACTTCTCAGGAAGCCTTTGGAAATCAAACGGGTCCATACCAATGAGAATGAGTTCATTTCACTGTCAACTACTTGTTATTGAAGTAGCATTTTTAAAAGCTTTCCATCTGCATGTGTTGTCCCAATAAACATGGCATAAATGTTCCCATTTTGAAAAGATGGCTAAAAGAACCTGTCATATTTTTACCCTATGAAAACATAACAATTACTAATCCAAATAGTAAATATGGATTTACTAATCCTGATTAAAAAAAATCAATTACTAATTAAAAGTTTGTAGATACTTGATAATTTCTCAAGCAAAAAAAAAAAAACACAATCTTTTTTTCCATTTCAGCAACAACTTGAGGAACTGGATGAAATCAGTGCATCAGTGATGTTATTTTATCCTGAGTATCTCCCTCCACCTGCACCAGGTTAACGGGGAATCTGAGCACAGAGCTGGACTTCCTATCTAACCAGTTCCTCTCAGCTGTAGATAAGCTACAAATGTATTTTCACAAGAAGAGAACAATGAATAGAAATGCTACACAGCCTTTGTTCAAAACAAACAATTTTAAAAACAATCCTCAGTCTTTTTCTTACCACCCTGTGAGAAACTGATATGCAATTCCAGGTTCTTTGAGCACTGCATGATTTTCCTGAAGGGTGAATTTACTGGATAAATACTTACTGGAAGGCTACTGATCGCCACCCAGTTGTGTTTTAGCTGTATGCCAACAGAAAAACTTCTTGCAAAAAAACAAACAACACAGCAGAGCATAACTTTACAACTTCATTACAACTTGATGCCTGCAAGCATGGCACATGAACTGAAGGAACCAGGGCAGAGATCTCCGTCATCAGGTGTGATGAAAACCAAATCAGCACCAACATCTCACACCGACTGCCGAGCTTAGTCAAGGTTCATGGTTTGGGCTTGTATTGCAGACACAGGGTTCGAGTACCTCCGGTCATTAGGTTGACCATAAACTGCTGTTTATACCAAAATATTATTGAGTGGAATATGTGGGAACATGTCTGAAAGCAGAAGCTTCAGCCACGTTGGGTTATGCAACAGGCGATGATCCAAAACAAACATGAAATCAACCACTATCGGTGCGAGATATTTAAAAAACTGTGCATAAAGTATTAAAGCTAAGCAAACAAAAATTTCACAAAGACAAGATGACAACCTAATGACTTTATACCATATGGAAAGTAAATTTTCCATGTCGATAGCTTAGAATTAAACAGTTTTACTTTGTTTTTTATCCAACCTTACATCACTAAATCCTAGCTTTAGTGGTTCAACAGCTAGAAGAATCAACAATCTTTTGCTTTAGCTCATTAGACAGTAAAATGGAAAATATCACTTCTGAAATGTATTTGTAAAGGCCAGGAGTCTGACTCAGTGCATGCAGAAGCCTCATTTAATCCGATAGTGCTCTACAGGCACACCAACCAGATCATTTTAAGCTGCTGTAAAGCCGTCATCTTTCACTGTGACTCAACTGTACCAGACCCAGACTCAACAGGCTGAGCAGAAATAGAAGCACCTTCACCAGTTTCATAATTAAAATAACTCCCTGGTTTGGTAAAATGCAGCATTATATACTTCTGAAGCACCTTTTACTTGAATGTGTTGGTCATGTTGCACTGACCATGCCTCACAAAAAATGCAAACAAAAGAAACATGGAGTGGCTGTTCCTTTTTTAGACCATCATTGTCTCCTTGGGCATCAAAATCAGATGAGACTTTGAGGTTCTGACTGGCGGTTCAGATTACTCGGCATTTTAAAAGTCATCATTTGACACCCCGTCCATGACACCTTCATGGGACTCCAAAAAAAAAAACAGATTAATCTGATCTGCAGGCAGAATTTGCAAATCCAAGTCACAGAGAGGCAACCAGACTGTAAATTAGGTTCTAGAAAGGTTTCAAACATCATTACATTTGGCAGAGCAGAGTGTTCAACAGTGTGATACCTGCTGATGATGAGTGTGAGCTCCTGAGTGCATGTTTTGATCTTGTTCTGAGCCTCCATATGTGTCATGAACTCTGTGCTGTCCCCATTGATGGCCAAAATGGTGTCACCCGGACACAGGTCACCCTGGGCCGCCTTGCTGCCAGATGTTATCTAAAAATGAACAGACAAACAAACATAAACAGGTTATTTAGGAACTGAAGACAAAAGAATAGTGCAATTTAAAAAAAAGCAAAAAACAATTGTGATATTTTATCGGGAAATGGAAAATAAGAAGGTTGGCTTTAAAATCCAATAGGACAGTCAGAACATTCAGCCTATCAAAATTGATCAGCCATAAAATTGCTTAAGCCTAAACCATCAGTGAATGATTTTCAAGGTAGGATGCAAATTCTATCTGACCCAGTAACCTTAACATATGCAACTGATTTGAAAATATCTGCTCAGTGAGTCCTTTCTTCTTGGCCTTTCTGTGGTCTTGCATATGACATATTTCCATGTTCCTCTAGTCTAGATTTTCTTTCAGCAGGTCATCAGAGCAGATTTTTCACTGCGAGCCCACATTCCTGAAACCTGCATATCTGAGGACATTTGAGGCTCACTGAGAGGCAGAGGGCTGAGAATGAGAGGGGAGGGTCAGTGAACCAGTGTGTGTTTCACCTTCACACACACAGTAACATATGAGGTCAATTACTAATATACTCACATGTTACTTATATTCCCAAGCCTGTCTGTGGAGGAAAAAACCTGCTAATTATTTCCTCCATAATGAAATGGAACCAGTTATATCACATGAATCTGAGCCAATCATTATTGTTATAGGAAGGAAAGAAAAACAATGACATGAGGTAAGGTGTTATTGCGTCTCCAGTCTTTTTCCATGTTCCAAATATTAGAAAATGACATGTTTCAGTTAGTAATTTACCTAAAGTTAAATGTGAAAAGCCTACAGTTTCACTACTTGAAAAATTAATAATACTAATATCACCAGAGGGTCTGAAGTTTATTGAAAAATGATGCAGAGTTCCCAGCTCTAAATAAACGGTTCCAACTGAGGTTTTCTCTGGTATAAATCAAAGCAGGACCAGCTCTCTTGAAGCTAAGCTAACTAAAGATCATTCATCTACCAATTGTAAATATTGACTTGTGTCTATTCAGAGTTACAACAGGCTGGTGCCCATCTCCTGCGGTCAGAGGGTGAGAGGCGGTGCCATCTGTACAGGTCACCAGTTCATCACAACGGAAACACAAAGGTTCAACAAAACAAACTGCCATTCATGTACACATTCACACCTGAGGTCGACTTAGAGTCCCTTATCAACTGTGAGGGAAAGAGTAGGTTTAGCATTACCCCCACTTTTCTTCCACACAGAAATGGAACAGCTAAGATTTAAGGTCAAGGCCTTGATAAAATAAAAAATGGTAAATTTCAAAGAAAATGGCAAATACAGGATGTAGAGAGATATGAAGAACATTGTGATTTCACTTTTACAAGTTATGATACTTTGCCAATATGACGAAAGATTTGTTTGTTTTTTTTTAAACTGAAAAGACCATGACATTTAGCTGGTTAGTCAGTATATGAACATTGATTTTCATATACACTTTAGCATAACCAAAACATGACTCGTAAAGATTAATATTTTACAGGCTGCTGAACGTTCCTGAAAATATTCACATCTTCGTCTCAGTTTCCTAATTAACCAGGGGAAAGACGATCGTTATTCAAAACGTGTACAGCTCTGCTGCAAGGAGGAGTGGTGCAGGATGTGATTACAGTTAAAAATAATGGATTCAATTTATTCATTTTACTTTCTGCACCAGAAATAAACTGCTGAGAAATAACATCCGTCTGTCCCATTTTAATTTTGTTTTTATTAATTCTGTTTACTTTTAGCTCTTTTTAACACTGTACAAAAACAATATTTTCTGCTTTGAGATTATCAATTTGGTTCACTTAACAGAGCCGATTATCAACATCTGAGGAATGTTTGCACAATAACGACACAAAAAAGTCATTGTTTAACTCAATTTATAGTAATTTGATCACAAAGTTAGTATTACATTCAAAAAGTTTGGATAAATTTAAACACAGAAAGCTGAAACCAGCTAATTGTCTCTGAGCTTCACATATGTTTTCTAAATCAAATCCTTATGCTTGTGTTGGTTATCCATCTTTGTCACTTGGTGCAAGTTTTTAAGCTGAACTCATTGATCTCCATAGCAGAACCCCCACTGCTTAACTCCACACCAACTCTAATGTTTTTATTCTGACAGCTGCTCTGAGACATGTTGCTTCTGGATCAGTAAAAACCTGACTTTGAAAAACAGATATAGTAATTTAATCCAGTGCAAATAATACGTAAAGAGCTGCAGTAATAAGCAGAAGTCTGGAAGAAAAGGATTTGGCTCGCAGTTGTGGAAAAGACATACAAGTTTCGCGCCATGAAGCACTAATAGCTGGATTGTGTGGTTCAGATGAGGAATTGTGAATTTACAGCCTGCAACCGCATCGATGTCACTAACTCAGTTCCGGTAAACACAGAGGACAGTGGGGGGAGATTGCATAAATTTGTATATGCAAGAGCAATTCTGGGAAAACTGCACTTGCAGAAATTTGGCATAAACAACTGCATGACTATTAACTTGTTAATTAAAGATCGAGTCTTTGCAAAAGGCGTATGCACAAACGTCTCTTAGGGTGGGAAATGTGACAGGGCTGTTTTTTTGTTTGTAGAGCGTTGGCTGACGAGACGCTAATCTGAGGGTAGCGTTGGAGGGCAGAGTTTACGTTGCTCCATCATCGTGGCTTCCCAAGAAAGAATTCCCTTTAAACATTTGTGTGAGCGTTGGATCTGGGCCAGGATTGTGTCACAGTGGAACAAAGCTCATTCACCCACAAAACACACACACACACAGTGGGTTATATCTTTAGGCTGAGACCCTGAACAGCACAGCATGATTCACAGACACACTCTCACACACACAATGGTATGCCAAATACCACAATAGTATGGCAAAAATAGACAATAAAGGACAAACATGTCTGCCCAAAGAGCCCTAAAGGTGATGTAAACACACAGTTCATACAAAATTATAGTTTGCTATGTGTACACTTTTCATTCCATGTTAAGTAATTACATATGTCTAAGCAGTTTCAATTAGAAGTTGTTTTCTCTCAAATGTTTGTTGTGGTTTTTCTTCTGGTAACTAGAATAAATTAACCAGAGTTTTCAAATCCTTTGTTCATTTACTAAGAACAAAAAGCTGTTTGAACCAACCTGGCCCTATGTGGAAAAGTTACTTAAATCATTAATTAACAAGAATATACGAACTTGTCTTAAGTGAATTTCACTTGCTACAGCCAGGAAGATTACTTCCAGGATTAGAGTCAAGAATCCCTTACATAGAATGTGCCCAACATCTTGAAGTAGACTCAAGCATCTAAAAAACAAAACAAAAACAACACTGTGCACTATTCTGTGACAGCCATTATTCACAAATGAAGCAAACATGGAAAGTTAATGAACCTTCACAGAACAAGCCAGTCTATCAAATTTACTTCAAGAGCACATCAAAGACTTCTGAAGGAGGTCCTAAAAGAACCCAAACCATATCAAAGCACCGCCGGTTTCACTTGCCTCAGTTGGGTCAGTTTTTATGATTCAATAAAGAGACCGGGCTAAAATCTTATCCATGGGAGGGTTATACAGCCAAAACAATGGCTGGGAAAAAGAACAAAGTCCTAGACTCACATTTGCCAAAAAACATCCTGATAAATCTCCAGACTTTTTGAAAAATATTCTGAGAACCGATGAGACAAAAGTGGAATTTTTTGGAGGGTTTACATCTTGGAAGGTAAAATCTGGCGTAATACTAAGAGCTTTTCAATATGACTTTATATTTACAGTCAACATTGTGGTGGAATGAGAGTTTTTCTCTTGTTGCTTCAGGAGCAGGACGACTTGCTGTGATTGATGGACCCACAAAGTCTGTTCTGTAACAGATTATCCTGAAGGAAAATGTCTAGCCATCACTCAATAACTTCAGGCTTGCAGGAGGACAATTATCCAAAGAATTTTCAGTCGTGTTTTTTTGTATGTATCCAGTTTCTTATCAGATATTATTTGTTTGAAAGGCTAAAACATAAATAAATACAATAGAATTTTGTTCATATTTTCCAACCTCAGTTTTATCACTAAAGATATCTCTTTTCCAAAGAAAGCAACAGTAAGTGCGTCACATTAAAGATAAGAGGTAAATTTTTCACTTCAGGTGTTGGATACACCGCTCAGGTTCTGATGCAACACCAAAGTTATTCGAAAAATCATATTTATAACTAACGTGTGCCTAAAGTAAAGCTATACTTAGTTAAATACAAACAGAAAGTCTGGTAAGCAAATGCAAACCTTATGTCATCCAGTGTCATCATGTGAATATGTTAGTGAATATGTGGTTCCACTTTGAATATGTCAGAGTAAATTACAGGCTTTGAGCCCAGAAAAGAAAAATGCTGAAAGCTCATGAATGTTTTTGTACATTTACACTGCACAGAGCATGTAATAAAACTGGATGAGAACTTTCACCCTGGTGTGTCATCTTTCTGGGGGCAAAGTCTTGCCACTATCGCTTTTTACCATGCGTCTTTCCTGTCTCTTTTATCAAGATCAAGATCTAAACCGTTGAACGTGTTTGACTTGATGGATCAATCATGTTCCTGGTAATTGCTAAGATGTGCCAACCCAACTCCTGAAACAGCAGCAATACTTTATTTAAACACCAGTCAAAACTGGCAGTCCAGCATCTCGATGTGACATGTTCATAAAGAGAAACTTAACAGTAAATTACCTGTATAAATATTTCTCTGACACATAAACTCCATTTCAATAAATTTCACTTGGAAATGTTTTTGACTGGGTGGAAGGGCTAAGTTCCACTTCTCAGTGACAAAGTAAGTAATTCCTGACAAAGAGCCCAACGCCTTTGTTTGCTTGCTGGCTGTGTGATAAAAACCATGGTTATGACCTTGGCAACATTTTTAATAGCAAAGACAGAGCCTTGGGTGTGAGGTTCTGACTGGAGTGGGTTAATCACACTAAAACAAAGGGACTGGAACTGCCAAGAGGAATAAAAGACTGGAGCGGTGGGGACTT